TTTTGTTACCACTCTCAAAATTTAATATTTTAAGTCTAACGATGACCGTTCGTGAGCTGGACCAAATTAAAAGAAAGGTATTTTGGAATTATTTTTTTTTAATTTTTGTTTGTTTTGAAATATCCAATACGGGGTATCGTTTAAAAGGTATTTTAAAGCAGTGTCCAATGATGTATTAATCATAAATAACCGTCTGCTTATAATTGTCATATCCCAAAATATTTAAAATTGTTAGGTTTTTCACTAAGAAAAATAAAATGTATGCACAATTTTCCAAATTAGACTTAGATTCAAAAAACCTTTCAAATGATACCACATACTGTATATATTGTTTCAGAAATAATTTAAAAAAAAATAATTAAAAAGGGACTTTTTTGTAACCGGTTCAGCTCACGAACGTCCATCGATAGACCAGAAATATTTTGGGAACCATTATAAAACATAACAAAGATTTTTTGAAGCTGGGTAAAATATTGAATTTTTTCTTTAAAACTGTCTAGCTCACAAATGGACAACACTTAAACGAAAATATTTTGGGTAACATCATATTACATAACAGCGAATATTTTGAGGTGGATAACTCAAGCACCATTTTTTGTGAGTCGGTCTAATGTACATATATTACTTTTTTTAGATTAGTTGTTAAATCTATTATTTTTTCTACTATTTTAATTTCAATTATTTCAATAAAAACTATAAAATTTCATTTTATTTAGATTTATTTTTATAGATTTTATTTTGGTGAGTATACAAATAGAAGAAGAGAAAACTCATCTTATAGAAGACGAGAATACTCATCTTCTAGAAGAAGAGAATACTCATCTTCTAGAAGAAGAGAATACTCTTCTTTTAGAAGAAGAGAGAACTCATCTTCTAGAAGAAGAGAATACTCTTCTTTTAGAAGAAGAGAAAACTCATCTTCTAGAAGATAAGATAGGAACACTTCTAGATGATACTGTGTAGTCACTTCAAGAAGTGACTTCCTAGTTACATCTAGAAGAGTCCTTGGCAATACCTTACTTTCAAGAGTCATCTAGAAATTTCTTCTGCGGGTCTTCCAGAAGTATCTTCCACGTTACTCTTAGACGTTCCCCAGCTCGGCATCAGTTCTTCCCGACTGGTGACAAGAATTCTTATACTTCCGCAACATCGCTGGCGAGCTTTTAGCACGTTTGGAAGTTTCATACGGGTAACTTCCGCAATAGAAAATGTTTGTAGGGATTATTGGTTCTTTTTTACTACCACAGAACCTGTTTCTTGCACACACACTTTGCTGATTTTCGGCTCGAATTTAACTCGAATTCAACTCGTTTTCCACTCACTCGTAAGCGAGTTGAAAAAACAAAAACATGTAACTATCGCTTACGAAGCGAATACAAAACACATAAAACTCTAATTAAAATTGTGCTCGCGTGTTGAAAAATAAAACTCGCGATTTTGAATTTTAAAACGAGCGATATAAATAAAATAGCGATCGCGAGCGATATTTTTACCTACCCTGAATATACGGTACTCCTATTTTTTTGAACAGTTTTTTGAACGCAGCTGTATGTGGCATAGTGTATTTTAAAATTAAATTTTGTATGTAAGCAATTATAAAATAAAACTCACTTACTTACGTTAAAATTGTAGATTGTGGACCTATAATAAATAGTCTCTATCTGTCATTTTCATGAAAATAACATTTTGAAGGCAAAATATCCAGCAAACTATCCCGAATCAGTGACATAAATTTCAAAGAAAAAAAATTATTGTTTGGCTATTTTATAGCAATTTTTAAATTTCTCTTTCTTAAAAAAAGAAAATTTCTGAATGCAAAACTCTCTATTTTATTCAAAAATTGCTTCAAACTCTATTATTTTGTTTGGGCCTGCTGAACACAAATCCGCCAAAATATTTAAAATCGGTTTAATAGTTTTCGAGATATCATTTGGTACTAATTTGTTTAATTTTATTGTCGTGTTTAACCATATAGCATTTATTTTGGACCAAAACTTTATAATTTGTTGCCTTTTCAACAATTTGGTTTCTATTACTTCATTAAATTGCACAGAAAAAAGTTTGAGCATAAATATTATAAACAGCTTTCATTGACTAAAGTTAATAGTATTTAAGAATAAGTTCCTAAATTGTATGAATTTTTTCATTTTTATTTTTTTAAAAATAATCTAGAAGCCTTGACTTAAAAAATTAAATATTTTCTTTCTATTTTTCTATTTGTTAAAAAATGTTTGAAATTTTCTTTGGAAAATTTTTTATTTCTTTATGATTTTTAGATTGAAAACAATGAAAATGCGCGTAACTTGCAGGATTGTCTGAAGAATGGATGTTTAGCTATATTTCTGATGTTTTTTTATTTCATATTTTGTTTTCCAATATTTTTATTTATTTTTCATAAAAATTCGCTAATTATTATTATTATTTTATTTTCTAAAAAAATGGAACATTGGATATTTATTGCAATGTGGATATTTATTGCAATTTTTTATGAAAATAAAAGAAAATAAGTAAAAAAAAAAACAAAAAGTTCATTCATGTACAAATTCATACATTTTATGAACTTTTAATATTCCGAATGAAAATGGTTTGGGAAAAAAAAGTCATGTTCGATTCATACAATTTATTACAAAATTCATTCTAGTTATGTATTATTTTTTTCTGTGTGCATAAAATATAATATTTATTGATATTAAATCAAATAAAAAAATTCTATTTTATGAAAAACTCTCTATCTGAAGGTTGTAAAAAAAATTCATAAAAAAAAGCTCTATCTGATATGAATTTGTGAATAATTTTGCAAATAATGCAAAATTTTCAATTCTTTTTATATAACGATTTAGAATAGGGTCGTAAAAATATAGAAGAAAATATTAAAAAATCTCCTGAAAACTTGTATTATTTTAGATAAAGACTATTGAATATAGTCCCTCGATATGCTTTATGGTCTGAAATCAACTTTTTTATCAAAAAAAGATTTGTTTAAAAATTGATCTGAACTAACTGAATATCACGATGTTTAATAACTACAATTTGGCTTAGTTTCACTAATTTGAGACTCCCTAATGGGATAATTTTAAAAAAGTGATAAACGCTTAAGTAAAAAATCTTTTAATGAAATAACCATGAGATTTTTCATATTTTTTTTCGCGATATTTTCATAATTTTCAAGATATTTGAACAAATTTTATTTTCGTCAATTCTGACATTTTCTTTCAGGATTTTAAATGAAATAATTGTGAACTGAGCTTAAAATTACTTAAAGTCATCTAAATATAACAGTTTTATATTATATTTTTAATATTTACTACGAATAATGGAAATTAATCTAACTTAGGTTATATAATATACGGTACTCCTATTTTTTTGAATAGTCGAAATCTGATATGGATTTCGAAAAAAGTGAATACCAAAAAAACTAATGAGCATATAAAAAAATTCATTTGTTTTGTATTTTAAACACTTAAAAACAAATATCGTGAAAAAATATTGGATTTCTTTAAATGTTTCTTTTTAAAATTAAGCTGCACAATTATTTTTAAGTCTCACTCCTATTTTTTTGAATGCAGCTGTATGTGGCATAGTGTAATTTAAAATTAATTTTTGTATGTAAGCAATTATAAAATAAAACTCACTTACGTTAAAATTGTAGATTGTTTGCTGTTTAAGCTATTATTAGCACATTTTTATCATAGGATTTATTTTATTTCAACAAACAATTTGTCTTTGGATCTTAAAATATTATTTTGATTTTGGATTTATGTTTTTAATATCAACATGGTGATATAAAATATTTACATATAAAAATACTAATTTATTAAAACAGGCATTAATAATTAGCTTTCAATTTTTTTTTTTCTAAAACGGAAAATAAAGTATAATTTTATTAAAAGAAACATAATCATTACATCTGTTTTTTTTGCTCTTAAAAAGTGAAGAATTACAACAAACATCTTAAATTCAAATGGCCACTTTTAGCATTACATATGGTTATTGAAATGGTGTTTTAGAAGTATTTTCAAAACCTGAAGAGAAATATAATAACATTATGAAATACTGAAAACCACATTTTAGCAAATATAAAATGCTTGAAAAATATTATCAGGCTTTTATAAATGCTATCAACAATTTTAAATGTATCAACTTAAGAAAATTATTACAATAAAAACAGGGTACTATTATTTCGACAAATTTTGTGCAAATCCTGCTAATACATGCTTAGAATTAGATTTTTTTGACAGCTAAGTTGTGTATTTTCGGAGAGAGTTGGCTCTCTAGTCCACTCTATGATACACAATTTATTTTTAGTTTTCTTTTGGATTTTAATTTGTAGATTGATTTTCTTTTATTTTTCACCATAATTTTCTTCATAATCCATTTAAAATTGAAAATAAACCAAAAAGATAGGTTTCATAATACATGAATGAAAATTCTTCAATACATTTTGAAACAAATTTGATTTTGTATTAAAGACAATGAAACTCTTATATTAATACAAAGTATTGTAATGTAAAACCCCCTTATGTGATATCGTTATAATATCGTTTGGTTTATTGGGAAGTTTCAAAGCATTTCTTTAATTTTAAATGATCATAAACTTAAGGAATAATAAGCTGGTGACCTTCACATGTGTTTTGGTAAACTATACCGAAAGGTATCAAAACTTTTAACCATTTCAAAACATTAACAAAAATCGAGACATTTTATTTAATTTAGTTTCTATGTATATGAATATATAGAAAAAATAAGTGTTATTACAGTATGGGTTATATTTATTTAATTTAATTACGATGAGGGTAGCGAAGCACATTGGGTAAAGCTAGTATTTTACAGCAGAATTTTGTAATATTATACTAGAATTTAAAAAAGTTATTATAGTATCTATGAATTTATCTAAAACGTGAAAATATTATATCTGTGGTGAAAATATCGTTTTCATGCAATTGCTTAAATTATGCTTATTTCACATTTATGCTTCATTAAAAACACGCAGTTAATATTTAAATTTAATTGTTTATTTTATTTTCTATTATTAACTTTTTTCTCTATATACTAATAATTATAATATTAGTCCGATTTTAATTACTTTTCATGTTTAGCTCGTGTTTTGGCCAATGCGGTTGCTGTTATGGTTTTTTCATTCTTTTTGCTCCGTGGTAATGTTGTACAACTGGCTGACATTTTTTCCTGTAAATACGACAAAGTGTATATTATTTGTATGAATATAATGATATTATTATATAATGTATTATTTTAAACGAAATAAAAGTTTTAAACGTTTTACATGCTTAATATAAATTTGTTTGTGTGCATCAATTAAAAAGTTTTTTTATATACATTTTTTCGTTTTTTGGCATACAGCGATATTAGTAGTCACAGACATAATTGAAGCTCAGCACGAAATGTATTAGAATATTTTTTTTTGCTTGACAAATGTTATTGTTATAAGGGATATCGTTCGCATGATATTTTAATCAAGGGTAAATTTGACCACATGTATTTACCGTATCTATGTTTTTATATTTCGGTTTCCTTAAGACTGCATTTTCTTATTTGGTCTGAGTTTTTGTTAATATTTAAAGTCGGATGAGCGGCGGGAGGTTGTGGCGCTTTTCCTTTCTTATGAACATAGGCCCGTTGGGTATTGTAGTTACTCGTAGAAGATCCTTTGATATTTGTTCGAAAATTATTTTCAATTTCTTTTAAACTTGTACGCATTTCATTTAAATTAATAGATTTATGTAGTAATGAATCATTATGTGGATCCGATAATAAAAATTTCTGGTCTTCAATACTATTGTTAAAATTATTATCTTCCATATCCGATGTATAGTCCGATGCGCTTGATTTTGTTTCAAAGTATTCTTCTGTGCATTGTTCAAAATTTTCATTTTCGATATTATCTTTGTTATCTTCAAATATCAGATCCATTTCAGATTCATGATCCATTTTGTCTTTATATTCATCTTCATTTTCAGACAATTTATAGTCTAATTCATAGTTTAGCCTGTCTTCACATGTGTCAAATTCAACCTATGTTAATATTAAAAAAATATAATAAAATCCGACATTCCACTATGTAAGTTCATAAGACTTAAACTTGAATACTACAGTTAACCCATTGCTTATCACTGCATTCGCTTGGTTACAAACAAATCAACCAGTTTTATAATGCTATATTATGTATTTTACTGAGTTTTTTTTTTTTTTTTTTTGTTAAATTTGATTTTTATAATATTACTTTAGAATCTAAAGAGTAAATTGCATAAAAACATAACGGCAAACATATTTTGTTTTTCGATTTCATTTCAATTTGATGTTAAAATCTTTCTTTTGTTTTTAAGTTCAAGTTTATTTTTTGTTTTTAAGTTTATTTTTACAAGAATAAATATTGGTGTACCCCCTTGGGTACAACGGAATTGCCAATGCATATTTTATATTTGTGAATGCATACGGGATGATCCACCAAACAACATTTTTGATGAATGGGAATTGCATGACAATATTGTCAGTGAGGAATACCCTGCAGTACAACGAACGAAAGTTTGACAACGGCGATATCAACAGCCACTAAAATCTCCCACTAATGAATTTTCAAACCACTCGCAATGTTATTTACTGGTGAATTTAACATGGGAATGTGATTGAGAGTGGCCGGTTGGAATTTTTATTTACTGGTGAATTCAACATAGAAATGTAATTGAAAGTGGCCGGTTGGCACCTTATGCATAACATGTTTCCATTAATTTCACTAGTTCAAATATTCCAACAAAAGAAAAAATAAAGTAAAAAAAAGTTATTCTGAAACCGGGATAAATCTTAGTGTCTACCGATTTGTAGTTATTGACAGTTTTAAAACATTTAATTTTACTGGAAATTGTTTTCATAAACTTCATGAAAAAATTTATTAAATGTGAACTATTGATTACAATTGTGAACGTTTCGACAAAATATAACTAGTGAAAGGTGCCAATTGGAACAAAAATTGCGACCTGCGTGTAAGATACCACCGTGAGATAGGGCTACACGCCAGGTACTCACGTAAAGCACTTCGACATCCTGTACTTCAGAACTATCTATTCCAATTGTATTTCAGAAATTTTACTTCAAAATTCTTCTATAAATTTCCGAAATTCAATTAGAAAATTCTGAAATACAATTAGAATTTTCTGAAATATAACACTAGTTTGAAACATATATTTTTGAAAAGAGCTATGCCGATGCTAACGTTAGTTTAGGTAGGTTAGTGGTTAGTGTTCTAGTCTGGTAGACCGGAGGCGGTGGGTTCGATTCCCACCTGAGGCACTGGTTAAGGAGTGCACAACAGGCCCGATAGAGGCCTATGTGTACTTCTTGGGATTTGATGTATATATGTACATCCTCCTTTCAAACTAACTAAGTAACTAACTAACATAACGATTTTACTCATGATATAAAACCTACATGGATTTCTTTATTTTGGCGTTTAAGACCAGAAAAAATAAATAAGTCCAGTAAAATTTTTGAATTATTCATAAAGAAAGAAAAAGGGTTAAATTAGAAAGAAAAAAAATTATATTTAGAATTGTAGTTATTTTTTATATAAAAAATCTTATATCTTGGAATAGATGCTATTTTTATCACCCACACTTCCAAGAGTTTGTAAGAAATGAACTATGAGGTATAAATTCAGATCCGTAAGATTGTAATTCAGGAATAAAATGCCAATAAAATCTTCGAAATTTATTATTTTTTTATCTGATAAAAAGTGGGTTAATGAAAACCTAAATTTTTTTATATTATTGATTTTTTTTCTGAGTGGATTGTTAGATTCCCAAAAAAGGTGCAAGCATGATGTAATAATTAAGGTGAGAGCGTTTCGGCAACAAACACAATATTTTTTTGTTGTCTAGAGTTGGGTTTCGTCAAAATGAAATTGCTAAAATTGAAAAATTATAAACATTGGAAAGAAATAGTTTTTGTGTATTTCACAATATTACCTATAAAACCGTCCTTACATTTAGCTTGTTCCGCAGCAGGACAATGTTTTAATGCTTCTTGATCTGAATTTTCTTATTTTTCATAATTTAAAATTTTTTTGCTTTGAAAACACAAATATAATTTTTTAATTTATTTTGGCACAACCCAATCACTTTTAAATAAACAAATAAAAATGAGCTGCCTTAACGATTTCACCTTACTTAGGTGAAATCGAAGTTGATTTGGGTACAAGCACCAAAATCAATTCTCATTTTCAAATATTTTCCCAGCACTACTGAATGAAGATGGTAAATCAAAACCACTTTATTTCAAAATTTCGATGTATAGGTAAAAAATATAAAAGTTGTTAATTAACCACCGGACATAGCCCTTTCCAAAAATATATGTCTCATTCCATTAGCAAACAAAAAAGCTTAATTCGTAAACTTGTGTAATTTATTAATTTCAATTGGAAACATCTGAAATTAAATTAGAAATTTCCGAAACACAATTAGAAGTGTTTGAAATACAATTAGAAATTTCTAAAATATAATTCGAAATTTCTGAAATATAACACTAGTTTGAAAAGTACATTAGAGGTGCTCAACAAATATGAATTTTGCTTGAATGGGTCCCATTTTGTTCATTAGTGTCTAAAACCAAAGGTGACAATCGTTATCCATAAGCTAAAATACCTTTTCAGCACTACTACCGTTACCGCCTAAAATGCCGATACCGAAATAAGTCGAAATACCGATAACGCTAAAATAGCAATACCGAAATAAGTCAAAATACCACAAAATATCGTTACCGTTATTCTATTAAAAATAAAAAAATTCTCGCTATTGAAAATTTTTATTATATACTAGATTATAGTATAGACTATAGACTGTGTATAAAATAGAATATAAACTAGACTATATAGTCTGTTACAAAAAAGTTTAAAAAAATCAAAATCGACTTTTTGATTGATTATGATGCACTGTATCGAAATACATTTTCTTGGTAAATTTTACATTCCTGCAATTAAAATCAACGTCCTTATCAACGAAATTGTAAAAGATTATGTTTTAAAAATACCTTAAAATTCATTAAAATTTTAAAATTCTTTTGAATTTTTAACTTCGAGATTGTAAAGTGTCGTAAGTTGGTATCAAATAAAACAACAATGCACTTTGAACGAATCCTTGTGATTTCGAGCTTATTTTAGAATTTTTTCAATGAAAAATGCCAATTTTCGAAAATCTTTATGAAAACAAAAAAGCCTTATGCCAGCCAAGTTTTGGCCTATTTGAGCAACACTCTATGGGAAGTTTTAACAAAATTAAATGTTTATGTTTATTCCATTTACGTAGAAATGAAAAGATTAGTTAGGACGTGTTCTGTAAGTATTAAACGACAGACCCTCAATCACTATGCTTCTAACCGTTGACCTTTCAAAACAAATGGACCTTTCAAAACAAATGGTACAAAAGAAAAACAACATTTCAGTGTTGTTTACTTTACAGTTTGGCTAATCCTGAACAGAGGTTGTCCTCGGCTTCTTCAAGACCCAGTTCTGGAGATTCATAGCACCATCTCTTCATCTTACCGGAACTGTAAGCGGAGCAGAACTTACTGGCTTCTTCCATTTTTCTCTCTCCTTCTCGATATTATGAGCTGCAAGTTCACGTTTTTCATCAATCTTTGTATCGTTATTGGCTGCACATTCGTCGAGAACAGTAGCAATAATTCGATTTTGGACCAAATCAATAGGTCTGTAGTCTAATAGGAGTTCTTTCGGACTAAAATCGGAATTTATGCAATTGTAAATCCCAATATTTCGGCTCACTTGTAGTGGTTCGTAGGTAATTCAGGATTATTTGATTGGCCTGCACAACTTGGCCGTTGGCCTTCGGGGTTCGCATAGCAGCCTTTATATGTTGAATATTGGATTTATCACAATAATCCAGGAATATTTTTGAAGTAAACGCAATTCCACGATCGGGTATTATTCTTTTGGGCAGACTAAAATATCCTGTTAACACGTTCAGTACATTTATAACTGGTGCTGTCTTCGTATTTCTCACAGCTTTTACGGCAGTATATTTGGTAAAACCGTCGAATATAGCCAGTATATGTGTATTTCCCCTTTTTTTCAATATGAATTTGACGAAACGGTAACGGCTCTAATTGACCGTAGTGTAGGACGCCTTCTAGTTTACCACCTTTCTAGCTTACTTACTCCTTGACCTATTTCCGCATACGATCAAAACAAAAAGTTTGTTTTATTCTCTCCAATATCTTTTCGAGGACATAGTGTCCAACATCGTGGAATTGGGAACAACAATTTAAGCCCAGTTTCCGTCTTTCTGTAGAGAAGTTTTGGAGGCTTATACAACATAATTTTGCATTCTTCTAAACTTAAACCTTTTTAAATTTACGTTTCGATAAAATCTTCTAGAGAAAGCTATATTTCCAACAAGGTAAAGAGATTTTAACTTCGCATCTTCCTTCAGTATTGCTGATTTAGGTCTTTGCCCTTTTTTAGACACTTACAATCAACTTAGAAACAAATTCAATAATATAAAATTTTGTACTTTCTTATAACCCATTTACACTACAACGAAATCTAGTACTTCCCAATCAGAGATGGGGTAATATCGTTCTCGTATCGGAAACGATAGTATTTACGGACTAAATTGTACCTTTCCTTATAATATCGTTTTTCCATGAAATTATAATATCGTTTTTCGCTATCATAATTTCCAAAAATAACGATAGTAAAATCGCCTTTTCCAGCTTTTATTCTGAATGCTCTTTTGTTATCAAAATCTCATTTTAAAGGATATTTAACTAAATATTTCGCTAAAGTAAAATAACAAAAGCCTGAAAAAGAAAAGATTGCATATATACATTCTTAGATATCTTCATAGCATCATATTTTTCATAAAATCTGCGTTGTCATTCAAATACCTGAATTTCTTTTAGTTTTATATTATTTATCTAAATTAAATTGATTTTATTTGAATTTTCTTAACAGCTTTTCATGAAAATTTTGTATTTAAATTATTTTTATGTTTGAAATATTTTTC